CCCCCCCCCCCCCCCCGAGTTATGAATGAGCAACATCTGAGCAATAAAATCTCTCTCATGGCCAAAAAAAAACAAAAAACATATCTATCCAGCTTTCTACTTTTAAGTTTGGTTTATACATGCACTGATGCACTCAGACTGCATCTGAAACTGATTAAATATTCAAATTTTTTTAATTCAGCGGGAACTTCCGTTTTGAGTTTTGAAACTCATAGTATGCTTTATAGTAGCCTATCAAGCTCTTTTGTCTCAAAAGTAAACAGTGATCCTCTATTTTTAGAAATTTTAGATTTAGTTAAAAAACATGCAATGGAAAAAAAACAGCATATATAAATGGAGTAAATAACATATTTTATATTTTTGAGGGAACTTTTCCTATCTTATTTTTAACTAATCATACTCTTAGATTTGTGTATGGAGGGGAGATATAATGAGATGAGACATCCTTCACACCATTTGCTTAGTTATTTCTAAAGGTGCCAAAACAACAGAGAGACTGTTAAATTGCCAATTATGCTACTTGCTTCATTTATTTATGTAGTGTTTATCTATTTATCCTTTCAAAACAAGGATACCGACGTGTTCACGGTTGCTAAGCGAAAAACCCAAATAAATAAGCATCTGGATAATTGCAATTGACCTCAAAAGTCGCTCATTGCAGCCATTCTCAAATAAAGTACCCAAATAAACTTTAGTCTTCTCCAGCTCAAGGATTTTTTCTTTTTTCTTTTCAGATGTGCCTCTCCACAGTTTAAAGCCGTTTTGTGATCTAAAATCCATCTATCTGCAACTAAACGTCAAGATTATAACAAAAAGTTTAGGATAGGAGCTATGATTGAATATGACTTGAAGTTTTAACAACAATCTAGTAAGATAAATGATCATCTGTTAATGATTTAAATAGTTATCTTGTGTCAGCTGGCAGCAAGGGGTCAGCAAGTCCACAACTAATTTTCATGATGGATGGTGGATTTCAATTACCCTTAATCTGTAATTAAAGTGAGAAGAGGCAGCCAATGGCTGTGATTTATTACATCAGAAATCTCAGAGACACAATCAGGATAGCAATCTATAATTGTATAATTGAGAAGAGTTGCTCGCCTTATCCGCCCCCAAACCTGGAAACGTGGAATAGTCGAACTGAAACAAATTTAAAGTTCAAGTTCCACAAAGAACCTTTTATGCTCTAGTCTTCGAGAAAGCATCATCAACCAGTTCTTTAAAGCAGCGGTATGTGTTTTTTTGTTTTTACCCTGAAATATCAGTTTCATTCTGATTCTGATTTCTAATAAGGCAAATGGCTTTGGTTTCTTTCCCATGCTGACGAAAATACATCAGAAATCACGCTCTGAGTAGGAATTCTTTTGAATAAGTTTCTTAACGACTGTTAAAAAGTAGTGATAGGCACTTTTTAACATTGCTTCATGAAGCTTTGAAACTTTCGCGAATCATTTGTTTCAAACTAGACATTCAGAGTGTGTATCAAACTGGCATAGTCACATAATTTCAGTAAACATAGCTTTATGTCATAACTGTTTCGAAACATTTCGAAATTACAGTGGTTCGCTGCTAGGGGGTGATCTCTGTTAACCCATAAATTTAATAAATTTGTAGACATTTTAATGACACAAAAAGGAAGAGTTGTAGAAAATAGTCTTAATTGGCCTTACTGCTCTGCATAAAACAAGCAAAGCAAAATGTAGGGGGTGTTTACACGATACCCGATGAATTTCACCATTCATTCACACAACAATGGCGTTTTGGGGCGCTAACTACTAAAATTTGTGAAAAGGGTGACTGAATCAATAGGTAATAGGTATGTGTAGTCAATAGGTATAGTCAATAGGTATGTGCGCAAGCACCTAGTGTTTCTTTACAAAGTGATATCGCCACCTACTGGTTTGGCATGCATAATACAGCATTTTTAGTCATTTTCATGTGAACAGGGATTGTTTTACCAATGTTGTCTGCATGTAAAGCTTTTCAAAAACACAAAGGAAAAACTTTTCCGTTTTTAGAACATCACTGTCATGTAAAACACCCTTAATTGGCTGAAATTGTAGGTCATCCTGAATTTGGACATATATACTCTGTTCATATTCTATATGGGCTATGTATGCGATTTTGGATGCAGCCCATGTGTACAGCTATAATACTTATATACCTAATTATATATATTATAATACTTAACTGTAGGGGGCTCCAAAGCCGCAAAAATACACCTATAAAGAACCCATAAACCAAAAATATAGTATTACATCATAAACTTTTTCGCTCTGCAGAACCTCATGAACTCTATACAGTGAAAAATGAGGTTGCAATGAGTCATTATATAAGAGTGTGATGCACATTTCATGAAGCTTTATGCCTTTGCAATTCTTTATTCAAATGTTCACACCGTACCTAACGACACAGAAGTTGAAGAATGAAGAATGTGGAGGTTTTTCAATACCGCAGCCAAATTTGGAACATTTCTAAGTGCATACATACGATGTTTTGCCAGGTTTGGGATATCTAGCTCCCAGCAGGCACTGAAGATTTGCAGTGATGTCAAATGATGTCAAGCCACTGGCTTATTTCACCAAGGTGTTCTACCAAGTGCTACTGGGAATCTGTTCTGCCTGCTGTCATCAGATGGTACAACACCTCCTCATCTTCCTCCTGCGCTGACTGTCCTCACAGCAGTCTGGACTGCTTCCCCAGTCACGATTAATGACTGTCTCTGCGCCGAGTGTTTGTGCAGTTGAGGACTGAGCGCTTCACAATCATGCTGCTGTTTATGCATGAAATTTCCCCTTGGGGTTCAGTGAAGTCCAATTGAGTCTAGTGAATCACTTTGTTTGGGCATGAATTGATTCGCTGAATTTTTTTTGCCTTCTATTTACACTGAATTTCTGTTTTACAGTTTTGACTGGATGGGCTGAAGTGTGAAATATGAACGAACGGACATGAATGAACAATCTCAACTAAACATCTCCAAATAAGGTGACGGCATTAAACTTGAATATATTTACTACCGCACTACTGAACATATTCAGTATTCAGCAAGAAATCTATAATGTTCAAAATATTCTATTTTAAATAAATGCTGTTCTTTAGAGCTTTCTATTCATCAAAGAATCCTGGAAATAAAATATCCCGTTTTCCACAAAAAAATATTGAATATTAAGTTACATCAGTAGCAAATCAGCATATTAGAATGATTTCTGAAGCATCATGTAACATTGATGACTATAGTAATAATGCAGAAAATTCAGCTTTCTAATCTAATTATTTCTCAATATTACTGTTTTTACTGTATTTTTGATCCAATAAATGCAGCCTTGGTGAGCAGAAGAGACTTATGCTTACCGACCCCAAACTTTTTAACCCTAGTGTATGTTTACACCAATTACAACCTTAAACTAGAAACACTACACATTTAGAAATCATATAAATGCATAACATTTCAGCATTAAAAAACCTAAAATGCCACTTGAATCAGTTCATGTGTGAACATACTGATTCAGTAGATTGATTCAGACTTTCCACTGCAGCTTATGACAATGATAAGTAATTTGACTTTAATGCAATAAAATGTGACAACAAAAACAGTGATGTTATGTTACACTACTGTTTGTTGGAAAACAAATAGCTTGTTAATGCAATTCTAATGTAAACCAACAGCTAGAAACACAGTAACAACAGGCATCTAGAAGTGAATAAAATAAAGACAAAAAGTATCTTCACCACTCAATTTCAAATCATTACAATACAGGCTCCCATTAAACTTCATTAGCTTCTTGGGGAAATTAAAAAATCATGAAACTATAAAATAACTGGCAGTATCTTGCAGTTAGAAATTTAGTTTATGCGAAAACAAAAGAGCGCTAGTGAATATAATGACTCTATAATGGCACTTTAATGACAATCAATACCATTGCCCAACATGACCATTCATCTCAGAGGAGCAAGATGAGTCTGAGGAGACTTTCATTAGTTACACACAGCTAAAATATATTACAACACTTACCTGTTCTTAATTAAAAAATGTTAATGCATTCTGTCATAATGCATAATATAGGTTAATAATAAAAGATATCACATCGAGATAATACATTATGTATAGTAAGAGATGATTAAAACCTTCACTGGTCAAATATAGGAATAATTAAGATTGTTTGTGTGTTTTTGAAAGAAGTCTTCTATTCTCTTCAAGGCTGCTTTTATGTAATCAAAAATGCAGTAATATTGGAAAATATTATTTGTACTGTTTTAAAGGGGTCATCGGATGCGACATGCACTTTTACAAGTTGTTTGAACTGAAATGTGTGTTGGCAGTGTGTGTACACATTTTTTTAAAAATCTCGTTAAATCATTTCCCCTTTCTCAAATCAAGCTGTTCTCAGCTTCTTGGCTGTGTGATGTCACACAGACCCAGACCCCTCCCACGATTGTTGATTGACACTAGTGTTTTACCTTAGACCCGCCCTGAGTGAGCTGTCATCAATCCGCCATGGACCTTTTTCACATTTCCGGGTTTCTCAGCAGCGGAAGTCGTCACAAGGCACGTTTCCATTACTGATTTGTGCAAAACTTTGGCAATATTTTATAAATGTCGATAAAGTATTGCGAAATGGCGGCGTTTCCGTTAACCAATGTTATGCGACTAAAACGTAACCTTTTGCCTTTTGTTGGGATTTTAACGGATTTTGGCTATATTTATTCAAAGGCGGCATAAGCGTGTATCTTTACAGAAGCAGCACAGAGAGCCGCTTCAGAAACGTGCATGGCGTGGCTGGAATAAACACAAGCATTGACTAGAGTTGCCGTAATCAGCTTCAGTGGCCGTATCAGAGCCACACTACACTGTGTGCAGTGTAAATCGTCTAAGCATTAATGGTAGGAAAGCCCCTTATACTGGAGCGCGGCCACGTATGAAGTGTTTCTTGGAGGTTATAGTACACTGAAGAATGATCATATGACTTTTTACATACCCCATGTGACCTGTAAATGAGAAAAACCCGTTTCCATTGCAGTTTTGCGAATTATTCCTTTTTCGCATTGCCTGAAAAACCACCTCATGCGAGCGTAAAAGCTTTTTTGCGATATATGGGCGTTTTGCCGAAATTGACGCGTTTCCATTAGGCGTATTTTCAACTCGCAATTTCAATTTGCGCATTTTGAAGGGTAATGGAAACGCGCCTATAGTTGGGTTAACTTGAAGAGCAGTGAATCGGAGAGTACCACAAATATATATTTTGTGCATTGCCATTTGCTCAAATAGCAAAAGAAAAACTCCACAATCGTGTTTTCATGACTTTCAATAAAAGGAACAAAATTGAGAGAGACTGATAACGGCAGTCAGAAGAGAGAACGATGTCAAATTTACCATCCCTCCCATAGACGCTGCATTAGAAACACCCTCGCATTAGCGTTAACTGTTTTTTTGTAATTTGATGCAAAGGTGATATAATACAAAGAATAGTGTTATAAATGCACATATATTTAAAAAAAATACAAATATGAAAAACTTTCGAGGATTTACGATGCTGATGACCGTTAAACATGTCATCACAGTCTTGTGAAAAAGGTCCATTGTTTCGACGCCAGAGCAGGAGTAGACAAGAATGGCTCCTAAGCGATTGAGGTGTTCTGTTGTTGGATGTAATAATGAACATAGCAGTCGTCATTTACTCCCGACATCTGAGCCGCTGAAGACGCAGTGGATTACCTTTGATTTTGAAGAGAATGCGCCCCGATCTACCTAAATGTGTTTGTTTGCGCAAGTCATTCGGGATCCAGCCTCACCTACAGAAGAAGCTAGTATAAGGTTATTTTATGAATCTTTGCAAATCACCTTTCCTAATAACATGCTAGTTAGCAAGTTCCGCAGCTAAAGTAAACAGTCTCATGAGAATGGCTCGTCACCCCACGGAAGAGAGAGGCGGGGTCAGCAGAGCTCATTAGCATTTAAAGGAACATGCATTAAAATAGGTTGCTGAAAACAGAGCTGTTTTTGACAAGGTAAAAGGGTGTTGTTTTACACTACCATTGAGAAATTTCAACCAAAGTATGTTATAGACTTTTCAT